GAGACTCTGTCTCAAAAAAAATAAAAAATAATAAAAAAAAAATAAACCTGCTGGGATTTTACTTCGAATTGAGTTTAACCAGCAGATCAATTTGACAGAATTGGCATCCTTATAATATTGTTTTCCAATCCATGGAGATGATATATATCTCCATTAACATAGCTCTTTAATTTTTCTCAAGAATGTGTCACTGTTTTCAATGTAAAGGGTCTGCACATCTTTTGACACATCTATTTCTAGCTACTTGATTTCTTATGCTTTATATTTTTGAAATTTCATTTTCTATTTGTTGTATATAGAAACACGTAATTGATTTTTTTTAGTATACTGATCTTGTATTCCGTGACCCTGCTAAATTCACTTAATTCTAGAGCTTGTAGATTTTTTTGAATTATCTATGTACACAATCATGTCGTCAGCAAATACTGAAAGTTTTTTTTTTCCCCTTTAAAGTCCTCTTTTCTTACTGGCTGGGATAATTGCTAAATGGAGGTGTGACAGTGGACATCCTTGTTTCATTCCTCATCTTATGGAGAATGATTTCAGTATTTCAAGAGGTTTACACTCTAGCAGATTAAACTAGATTAAGGATGTGCCTCTCTATTCCTTGTAGAGGTTGTAATATGGCCTATCTTCATTATCATTTAATTAAAAACATTTTCTAATTTCCTTTGTGCTTTCTTTTTTGACCCATGGGTTATTTATTTTTTTTCCTAGAAAGTATACAGCCATTGGTAATGACCCATCGGTTATTCCTGGTTTTCAGGGTTTTTTTTGAAATCATGAATAGGTATTGAGTTTTGGTAGTACTCTTTTCTGCATCTATTTAGATGATTGTGTGATTCTTTTCCTTTTGTGTTATGTGAATTGCCCTGATTGGTTTCAAGTATTGAAACAATCTTTTATTTTGCAAAAAACCCAAATTAGATTTAATACATTATCATTTTTATGTATTGCTATATTTGATTTGCTTATTTTATTCTGGAATGTTACATCTGCATTTGTAGAAGGTTGGCTCCTGGTTTTCCTTTCTTGTGATGTTCTCAACTGGTTTTGGTGGCTGGGTTACGCTGCATCAAAAGTGAATTGAGGAAAAAAAATAAAGTGAGGGCCAGGCGCAGTGGCTCAAGCCTGTGAGACCCCCATTTCTATGAAAAATTTAAAAAATTAGCCAGGTGAGGTGGCATGCACCTATGTGAGGCTGAGATGGGATCACGTGAGCCTGAAGTTGGAGGTTGCTGTGAGCTATGATGGTGCCAATGCACTCCAGCCTGGGTGAGACGGAAAGTGAATTGAGTTCTATTCTCTGGAAGTTTATTGAAGACTGGTGACTCTAATATATGGGTGATGTACATTTTTCCATTTCTAATGTTGCGTGTTTTCTTTCAGATCAACCTGCTAGGGGTTTATCAATTTTACTTATGTTTTCAAGGGACTGATTTTTTTTGGTTGATTATTGTACATTTGTTTTTGATTTCACTTTTACTTTTTTTGGTATTCTTTCTTCTATTTATTTTTCATTTTTTTTTTTTTTT